CATGGGACTTCCACAACATTCCTTTAACTTTAGAATCAACACACCATGCCTGGGAAAAGGGGGTTGTTACAGTACTTTGCAAATCCGGAAGCACAGCAGGACTGATGGAAACCGTGAGTGTCTGTGATTGAGGGAGGCACTTCATAGAGCACAAATCAGCCTTGTTTCGGTTGAGAAAACATCTTATAGAACGACACTGCAGTTCGCCTTGAAGAAATGGTTTGCAAAGTAAGCACTGCATAGCTACCTAATGCTAGTTTATTCAAGGTATATAAAAAAAATCATATTAAACAAGGCAACCCCCCCATATATATATATATATGTATATATGTATATATATATATATATATATATATATATATATATATATATATATATACATACTTATATATATATACATATATGACTTTCAATCATTCTCTATTCAATACTTAATTACTATCATTAATAATAATTCATGAATATCTGATAATTATCGGCATGATAAGTGCCTAACATATTCATGAGCACATCGTGATAAGAAATGTAATAGCATGTGTGGTTCGAACGTCGTTGCCACGTCAAATCATAATTCACACACGCACGCACATACATGTACATATATATATATATATATATATATATATATATATATATATATATATATATATATATATATATATATACATATACATATATATATATAAATATGTATAAAAAAAAAAAAAAAAAAAAAAATATATATATATATATATATATATATATATATATATATATATATATATATATATATATATATATATATATACATACATATATATGGCTGCCGCGATGGTCCAGTGGACTCCAACCCTCATGGTCCCGAGTCCAATTCCCCGTCTCAGCAGTCGTGAAAATGCCTGCTCTCTTACTGTTCGGTCGAGTGCGATCTCACGGCGAGAAAACGATATATCGCCGCCGTTGCACAAATGTTAGCGCGCCGAACCGTGGTTGATTAGGAAGGGCAAGGGTGACACTGCCAAATAACCTCTCAAATAATGAATTGAGAGAGGCCGATTTCCTTCCGTGGATTAATTGGCTGTTGAAAAGAAAAAGAAAGAAAGAAAAGAAAAAAAATATGCATGTTGTACAGACCAGATTTTACCTATTTGTGGACCGAAGGCCAATCTCATCAATGGGTCCACTGACTAGCCTCAGTATGGTTAGAAATGAGCATGTCAACACTACTGGAATGGCGCCTCTGTTTGCTTTGCACAGTCAATATGGAACACCTGTTGAACTAATGCTTTGAATCATGTTATTTGCTTTCGACTTTACATGAAACTATCTTATATCTAAACACAAAACGACAAGATGCGGATGCAGATATCGAGAAAAACAAACAAACAAAACAATGCCGAAAAGATCCTTACCTTAAGAAAAATCAAATAAAAAAGGAGAGTTTTTGAAAGCATCTACATGCAATGACTTGACAAAAAGAGAGATTTATATCGCTTTATAATAACTTAGATTATTCCCTGATGTCAGATGCATTCATTGTACTGCACCAAGTCAATGTTTTCACACACCTTTTCATCATAACACTTATTCTACACAATACACTTCATTTCGAAAGTACTCCTTATATATCACCAAAACTCTAGTTCCAGAGGACATTCTCACACGTAGTCAGCAGTAGTGTAGAATAAGGATAGAAAGAAAGAAAGAAAAAAAAAAACACGCACACAAATGATAAAAAGAGACTTTACGGTCCGAGGGACAGACGGTAAGCGTAGAGCAGCGAAACACCACCCCGACTGACGAAACTTTTGGAGTGCGTTGCTTTCGGTTAACAGGTCACTGTAATTTTATTTATATATTTTTTTATGTATTTATTTATTATTATTATTATTTTTTGCTTGAGGAATTCAATTTTATAGTTTTTATTATTTTTTTAGTTCTCATATTTTATTTTCTTTCTTTCTTCTTACGAAAGGTTAATCTTTTCTTCTTTTTTTTTCACCATGTATTGCAGTTCTCGCTTAAGTTTATGTTAAACAAAAAGAGTGACGTCACCAGGGAAACTGCATTCATAATCTGTCTTTTTATTTATCGACTTTTCACTCGCACTCGAATGATTATAAGAGCTCGACAAAGCACGTTACTTCCATGTGAATAAATATCTATGGGCTGTCTGTGTCTCCCCCCCCCCCCCCTAGTTTGCGGGGCCGCAGGAGCCAACGAGACCTAAGCTACGGCCTCCCGTTCAGGCACAGTGATTGCTATTGACGCATGTCATGTGCGGTATGATAGTTGGTAGCGTCTTTCATGAATGTGCGAAATAAAGTCTTGTCCAAAGCATTCACCAGAAATATATATATATATATATATATATATATATATATATATATATATATATATATATATATATATATATTTACAGCCATTCATTCCACTGCAGGACATAGGCCTCTCTCAATTCAGTATTGAGAGGTTATATGGCAGTGTCACCCTTGCCTGATTGGATGCCTTTCCTAATCAA